GGGGTGGGTGGATGAAAAATGTGAAATATATGTAATATGTTTACAACAGTGTGTGGCATATAGTAAGTGCTATGTGTTTGCTATCATAATTATTACAGTATTTGAGAACACTTTTAAGTTGAGCCAGTAATCACCTGAAGTGTTTTGGTTAATGATCGCTCAAAATCCAGTATAAGTTTTACATTAGTAGATATGTAAAGTGCCTTGTTGGTAATAGGTAGTTTATTTTGATAATTTGGGTTCTACTTTAAGAAACACATTTCTAGGTGACCAAAAAATGCCAGTAATAATTATCTTAATTTTCTGGTATGGTTTGTCTTGCTGTATATGTACGGCAGTGTTCTCAAACTTTGTTGTGTATTAGAATTACATAAGGAGTTCTCACTTATTTACTAGATATGGGGTGAGGGTTCAGAAACCTGAATTGTCAACAAATCCATTCTGGGAAATTCTGGACTCTGAGAGGATACTTTTGGAATTGCTAGTTTAAAGGTTGAATTCAAGGAAAGGAGATAATAAAAGGTCACAAGCCATCAGATTTTCCCTAACTTGCTTTTAGGCGGTGATCATTTGTAAACTAAAAAAGCATTTAAAAAAACCATTTATTTATTTATGCATAGAAGAACGGGGTGTAGGCCAGAGATGTGGGGGGTGGTGAGAGGATTCACCAGAGACAAGAGTGGCAAGCTGAACAGATGGATCTGCTGAAATACACTGCTAAGGTGAGCAGTGGGTGAGACAGGAGAGGTCTGATGCACCATGTGGGTTAGGTCCCTGGCTGGGGATCAAACTCAGGCCATAGCCATGGGTGGTAGCATGATAGCACCTAGACTTAACCCCTGTGCCACCAGGGAAACCTGAAAAAAACACTTAATTTGGGCCTCCTTGGTGGCCTAGGGGTTAAGTCTCAGTGCTATCACTGCTATGGCCTGAGTTGGATCCCCTGCCAGGGAGCTAACCTACACATGGCACAGCAGACCTCTCCTGTCTTGCCCACTGCTCCCCTCAGCAGTGTATTTTAGTAAATCCACCTGTTCTGCTCTCCACTCTGTCTCTGGTGAATTCTCTCAAACCCCCCCCTTACCCCCACTTACCCCCACCTCTGGCCTATACCCCAGTTCTTCTATACCAAAAAAAATGGGGGTTTAATTTGGTGTTTAATAAAGATAGGATCTATACTCATACCTCTATTATTTTGTCAACATCAATTAGATTACTTTGTTTTAGGGCCTGCTCTATATTGAAAGAATTAATATAGGAGCTTTCAGGTGAATAAAAAATACCTGGCTGGATTTATTGGTATTTGTGTCATAAGTTAAATAGCAGCAAGTATATTCATATTATGTTTTTCGTGTGCCTGCTATGTGTTGAGTGTTGAGCTTTTTTAGATAATAGTTCAATAAACAGGAAGGTATGGTGTAAGTTTTGATCCACTGGATCAATATAGGTGTGGTAGAGAAACTCATGTACATAGAATATGTGAGTATTTAACAACTGTACAAGGTGTTGGTATAATTAGTTCCTGTTTCACAAATGAGGAAACCTAGGTGAAATGAGGTATGAGAAACTTGCCCAGGTCACTAGTAAGTGCTGAGCAGAGATAAAAACCCAGCATTTTCCTAACTAATAAAAAATTATTTTATGTGAATTTATGTATTTTGGATATTCCTTCCAGCTTACTAGGCAGGACACACAAGAAGGACCTGATTGACTTGTACATTGTTTCTCCTGATCAGGAAGAAAAAAAGAACTTATAAGTTCTCAGAGTAGTAATATTTGTTTAATGTAGCCAAACAATATTCAGAGTATATTTCTCTTATGCTAATTCTTTTTACCCAACAAATCTTTTGGGGGAGGGGACACAGCTTAAACACAGCAGAAACGCTGGAACTGAAGCAGGGGCTGTACTGTGTGCAGGGAGGCAGCAACACTAGCTTGGGAAACGAGCAAGAAAAAAAAGGAGAGACTTGGGTTACCCAGGATGGCATCAATATTCTAAGAGTGCTGTTTATGAATTGTCTCTCCTGAAGACAGTACATTTTAATGGAATTTCCAAATATATCTGTAATATAAAAAAGGAATTCAACTTGAACCAGATTAAAATCATTTTCCTGTAATAGTTATTAATGATAAATTTGTGTCTTTGGAATGTTTCAGATCAGCTCTAACCTACATCACAACTGTGATAGTTTATGATTTAATGATGTGGCAGTCATATTCATGGAAACGTTTTGTTCTCAGTTTTTTCTTCCTTATTTCCTAGAGAATTTCAATAAGAAATCCAACAAACAATAGTTCTTCCTTCAGTAGAAGTTTGAGTTTTACAAATGGCTAGTTGTTTGTATGGATTTTAACTCTTAATTAAGAAGTCAATATCAAGTATAGAATGAAGATAAGGATTCTCATATTTAGGGATGACAATATGAATTTAGCCACAATCTTAAAAACAGCACTTATCTTAGATATTTTTGAGACAGGCTCAGAAGTGCTCAAGATCCATTGTTGTTAATTTATAAATCCAAATATTACTAAAAATTTTACTGATTCTAAGACATTTTTCCCCACATTTAACACTTTAAATTTAGGATATATTTTAAAATCACTGTCTTCTTAGAGTTTGTAAGTTTTGTAATTAGGACTTCAGTTCTGTTGCTGTAACAGAGATACCCAAAATACTAGGCCCTTAATGAGAGAAAAATTTCTTTTTTGTGTGTATGAAAGTTCTGGAAGGTCACTCAATGCCAACCCCTCCTATTGTGTCACTCATCATTACTATGTAGTTTCTCTCTTGTGGTTCTGTATGTGGTTCAGTATGACTGATTCGGCACCCATCATCATGTTTGCCTTCCAGCCTCAAGGATAGAACAGGGGAGCCTGCACCCCTTGCTTTTAGGGCTAATGCTGAAGTTTACGTCAGTCACCTCCACACTCATTTGCCAGAACTTAGGCACAGTGATCAACGTCTAGCTCAGAAGGAATTTACAAAACATCGTCTTTCTTACTGGGGGACATGTGCTTAGGAGAAAATTTTATTACTAAAGAAGTAAGAAAGAATTGGCAGGCTGCTGGTAGTCTCTGCCTCACTATGAAACACTACTTTCTGTCTATTAATGTTTAAATGCTACCTTAGAAAATCACCTAGGGGGTCGGAGGGCCAGGGAAAGGAAGGACTAGGGTCAAAATAAGGGGGGAGATATAATTGCATAGGAAATATAACCAAAATGAAAATGCATACATTGTACAAAGATGAAAAAAGATATAAGAATTATATAAAATAAAATATTTAAATAAAAAAAAAAGAAAATCACCTAGAAATGTTAAGAGAAATATTAATAGAAGATACAAGAACTGAATCTGAACTAGATTTGTAGGTATCTGGAAAATATTCTGTAGGATGGTTTCTGTTTACCTTTCTTCATTGAGAATTGAAAAATGTTCCATAGAAGACCTTTTTTAACCAGGATGTTAATCCTATTTTCAGAGGTGGACCCAGGAACCATGAGGAGGCAGCTACTCCTCTGTCATCTTTATTATTAGGTGAAAGACATTCTTCTAGAATAATTCTCTAAGATCAACTTAGTACTGTAGTGTTTTGATTTGATTTAGTATGGGGATCAAGATCTCTCAGCCTTTAATGTTATACTAGTTTGAGTGTTTCTCTAATGCATACTAGGGCCAAGAAGAGGAAAAAAAAGATAAAGGTTAAATGAAGAGACATATGTAATCAAGATGGTTTTGACGAGGAATGGTAGCGTGTCTTCCTTCATGTAGGCCATGCACTCATTGTATATACAGAGATATTAACAGGCATTTACATGTATCATTACGATTAAGAGTTGTAAAAGGTACCATGGGTGCCACAGGTATGACATTCAACCAAGACTTAAATGATTCTATGATTTTTTAAAAAAAATTTTTAATAAGGTGGCAGCTCTAGCTAACAAATTATAATTCCTTCAGGATTATGGTTGAAATAGGACTTTATCTTAAAATACAGGTTTATGGGGGTACTGGGGTGGGGTGTTGTTTTCTTTTTAATTCCAGAAAATTTATAGCATGTTTCATTGACTCTAAGATGCCATTTAATCTCAATTTCATAAATGTTAAAATGTGGAGAAAAAAATATCCAGTAATGACTGTAAGGAACCTTCAGATGTTTAAGTGTGAAAACAGACATCTCAGAACTGGTGAAATGTGGTGTTAAGTTCTCGGTACATTTGTGATCAGTGGCATCTTAGAATGGAGGACTCTCCAGTAAGAGAAGCTGAACTAATTATATCTGTTTATAAGTCAGTATGCTTTCGAGTGATCTGACTTTTTCATTATCTCACTCCTGCACCTCTATATGCATAAGAGCACCCCAGCTCTTGTATGCATAAATAGCTTTTATAAAAAATGTAGGTTTTGACCTCTTTATGCCATGAATCTTTAATTAATAACTAGGGAACCTGGAGTTAAAGCAGCTGCTGATACCAGAGATCACCTCAATCTTTGTCCAGTTCCTCATAATGCTCATCTGTTACAGGGGTAGTGGTGGTGGCTTGCTTTCTTCTTAGTTATTGCCTAACTATAGCTCTTAAGTTTGGGTGAAATTATAATCTAGAACACAAATGTATGTACTAGTACACACATGTATACACATACAACGTGTGTACACATACAACTAAAGTGAAGGAGAAGTTCCACAAAATAATACTTTGCATACTGCAAGGGATTCATTCTGATATGAATCTTTTTTTTTCCATCATAAAAATAGGTAATGTGCCTCTTTGCACTACTTTGGACTTTTCAGAGAACACTTAAGAGGAAAACAACTAAGGATCTAAAAACTTAAAAAATCTGAGTCTTCTTTGTTATTGTGATTTCTCACTTTAGGTTCTTTCAACCAGTATTGGGGTGCTAGTTTGCTTCTTGCTTTGAATGAGGAGTGAACCTGTTGTAGTTGAAGGGGAAAAGATCTATAAGTATAAATAAAACATGTATCTTTAATCTTTTTGTAGGTCATCATCGAATCTGAAATATTTAAAGTGGATACAAAACTGTTTCAGCAATGCAGACAATTAAGTGCGTTGTTGTGGGTGATGGTGCTGTTGGTAAAACATGTCTCCTGATATCCTACACAACAAACAAATTTCCATCTGAGTATGTACCGACTGTAAGTATTCCATCTGTTAGTGAATTGTATTGTAATTTTATATCCCTTGGAAAACACTTATCTGTGTGTACTGAATTTTTTCTGTTATCTGCCTTTGTTTCCTGTTTTTAAAGATCTTGACTTCTCATGGGTAAATTATATACACTTTAAAATTAAACAGCTGAAAAATCAGTGGAAAGTAAGAAGGGGTGACACAAGGGTTTGCAAGAAGTGCTGGGAGGCAAAACTCCAATAGACAAGATTCTAAAGAGTGGTGGTCTCAGTTTGGAGAAGTATGCCCTACATCTTGGAATGAGGTGACTTTTTTCTTTGATATCTTGGCCAATGATTAATCAGTGCTCAGAGGTCATCTGGGATGCTTTTTGGGGTCTTGTAATTTGATAGTGTCGTGCTGCTGCTTATTCCCTTTAGGGAATAAAAGAGAATCTTACGGAGCTGTTGTCTTAGCTGTCATAGACCCCCCCCCCCGCCCCAACTGGTTTTTAGGGGTAGAGAAGACCTGTTCTGCTATGAGAACACCTACAAAAGCATTTGGGGGTCCTCTCCACAATTGCTTTTTATCAATTCCTTTGATGGATAGAGGGAAAGTTGGAACAACAGACGACGAAATGAGAGAAACATAGAAGAACACACTCGTGAAAGAATGTGATTTGGGGACTCCATTGTTTGTCCCAGTTGGTTGACCAACCCAGTAGTGTAATTACCTTAAGCATAGGTGTCCATTTTGTGGTGAGAGGGGGAGTTAGGGTTAGTCTGGTGTGGCAGTAACCACTCTTCTTAAGTGTGCTATTTTTTTTTTTTTTTATAGAGGCATATTTTATTTATTTATTTTATTTGTTTGTTTTGTTTTTACATGCACTGGGTACAGTCAGAAGCATGGGAGGGTGAGAGAATTCACCAGAGCCAGAGTGGGGAGCAGAGCAGGCAGAAGGACCGAAGTACACTGCTGAGGGGAGCAGCGGGCGGCAGGAGAGGTCTGCGCGCCATGTGGGACCCTCCTCCGGTGGCCGGGGAGCAGCCGGGGATCAAACCGGCGCCGCAGAGGCCGCGGGCAGCTTCGCAACCCAGCGCTCAACCGCTGCGCCACCGGGGAGGCCCTAAGTGTGCTATTTTAGGGGTTATGAAACACCTATGTACTAGTATTATCTAGAAGTGAAAAAGAAGAAAACGTGTACTTCAGCTTAATCATTAGACATGAACATTATTATTATTTTTTTTAAGATTTATTTATTTATTTATACAAGCACTGGGTACAGTCAGAAGCGCGGGAGGGTGAGAGAATTCAGAGCCAGAGCGGGGAGCAGAGCAGGCAGAAGGACCAAAGTACACTGCTGAGGGGAGCAGCGGGCACAGCAGGAGAGGTCTGCGCGCCATGCGGGACCCTCCTCCGGTGGCCGGGGAAGCAGCCAGGGATCGAACCAGAGCTGCGGAGGCTTCGGGCAGCTTTGCAACCCAGCGCTCAACTGCTGCGCCACTGGGGAGGCCCTAGACATGAACATTATTAAGAGAATGAATACAGATTAAAGGTTTGGGAATACATTTGGATTGGAATTGATGTTCTGTAATGTCCTAAGATAGACATGTAAGGTGGGCCAAGACCGGAGGAAGAAAGATTAGGTTTCTTCGGGAGAATCTGAAGGTGTAATTAAATTTAAAATACTACATTTTTTGAGTTGGTCTGTTGGGGTATTATCAGTGAAAGAAGTTTTGAGGTTAAAAACGACTTTTACGATACACAGATCTTGTTTTGTAGTGAGGACAACCATTAGAATCTTGGTGTTTCAGTCTTTAAGTTACTTTCTTGTAAACATGATTTCTGAGTCTTCTGTGTTTTATTTAAGGTAGACTTGTGGGTGTTTTATATATGTGTTTGTGGATCTCTAGAAAAGGGACAGGTGTTGACTTAAGAAGACAACCTGTCTGATTTGAGAGCTTAATCACATCCCTTATATTTCCTTGGTGTTATTAAGAACTGATTTTGTTAATCTCATGGCCTGGCTTCCACTTTTGTTTACATTTAAACAACTTCCCAACAAACCATTAAGCCATCAATCAGAAAATAGATAGCTAGTAGGTTAAGCAGGGCTAGTCTCCTAGTTGAAAAGCATTGCTTTTCACATGTAAATTAATTCAAAGAAATTATTGTGGATTTTTTCCTCTTTAGTGACATTACCTACCATTTTCACAAATAACTTAGTATAAGCAATATTAGTATATACTGAGCTCTTTCAAGATTTTACTAGTTAAGCAAGATATCTTTATATATATAGTTTGTATCCAATAACGTGAGTTTTATTCCTGATATCCCAACAAATCTGCCAGCCTTTTCTTGGATCCTTTCCTTGAGTACCTTGAGGGAACTTTTATTTCTCTTTAACGGGCTTGTTTGCAACAAGAGTCTTCATATCTTTAACCCTGGAAGGGAAAAGATTATCATGGATCCTATGATAGATTCTGGTTTTAGGTTAAAAGGAAATGGTGTATGAAGAAAGAATTTCTTAGAAATCAGATTGAACATTGAGGTAAATTATAAACTTCTGTCTGAAAAATTTCAAATTTGAGCAGGATCATTTTGTATAGTTAGGGGACTTTGCTCCTGTGACATCTCTTACCCCTCTGTGGTTTTTTTATCCAAGCTAAGGTGGGGAGAGCAGACATTCCAGAACATACCCCCCATCACTTTTTCCAAGTACTGTTTACCTCATGCAAGGTCTTAGTTGGCAAGGTTGGTTATATAAGAAAGATGGTTATCTTAAGATAGGAAGGAAACATTGCTTTAAGAGTTGTCCTGTCCATTTTGACTATCCCCTTGAACACTAACAATGTTGTATTTTTGTGTTTTTAGGTTTTTGACAACTATGCAGTCACAGTTATGATTGGTGGAGAGCCATATACTCTTGGACTTTTTGATACTGCAGGTGAAAACTTGATGTCTTTTATGTTTTGGTCTATAACTGCTGAAGCTTGTGCATTAGCAACCACTTTTGTTAATAGCTAGCAGGATTGAAGAACTTGATGGACCAAGGAGCATTTCCAGACCTGGAATGGCAAATAGGAGTTTGGGCTACCCTGGGTGAACAGTGTGATAGGAGATAGAGTGTGAGCAGAGCACATTAGACATGCTATATTATCACTCTCTGAAATTTGAAGGCTGTTTAAAATGTATGTCTGTATAGTACATTTAGAGATAGTTCTTTCTTTTTTTTTTTTTTTTTAAAGATTTATTTATTTAATTATACAAGCACTGGGTACAGTCAGAAGCATGGGAGGGTGAGAGAATTCACCAGAGCCAGAACCAGGAGCAGAACAGGCAGAAGGACCGAGGTACACGGCTGAGTGGAGCAGCGGGCACAGCAGGAGAGGTCTGCACGCCATGTGGGACCCTCGCCGGGGATCGAACTGGTGCTGCAGAGCCTGCGGGCAGCTTCGCAGCCCAGCGCTCAACCGCTGTGCCACCGGGGAGGCCCTCTTTTTTTATTTTTAAAGAACATTTTTCAAGTACCTTTTCTTTTGTTTTTTTAAAGATTTATTTATTTATGCATACAAGAGGTGTGGTACAGGCCAGAGATGTGGGGGGTGAGAAGATTCACCAGAGACAGAGTGGGGAACAGGACAGGCAGACTGACTGAAACACACTGCTGAGGGGAGCAGCAAGCAAAAGAGGAGAGGTCTGCTGCACCGTATGGGTTAGCTCCCTGGCGGGTGATGGAACTCAGGCAATAAAGATGATAGCACTGAGACTTAACTGCGAGGCCCCCTAAAAAACATTTTTTACATTTGACCAGCTAAATGCGCCATGTGGGTTGCTCCCTGGCTCGACAACTGTTACAGGACAACTCGTGCTATAGAGGCTGCGGATTGCTTTATAGTGTGGTGCTTTACCCCTTGCGCTACCAGGGAGGCCCCAGAGGTAGTTCTTATAGCAATAGAAAACTTGTTTCATATTACCTCTGAAAATATTTTGAGGGTACACCAATATCTAGTTTACAATATTGACATTTGTGGCCACTTTTCAAATTACGAGAATAGATTACTTTCTTAAATATACCTAATTTTTCAGTGTTAGTTCTTCCTTGTTTTAGCAGTGACTGTATATCTTAATTTATGGCTTCTTTATATGTTGTTTCTGTTACTGTCAGTGCAGTTAGACAGGAAAATTTCAGAAAGGTAACCTTTTAGAATGTAGGAATTCTGAATTTCCTGATTTTTTAATGAGTTACCATGTCACTGCTTGCCAGCTGACATATACTCTTTTTTTTTTTTTTTTTTTGACATATACTCTTACTGAGTGTATTATACTGCCTATTTTGAGAAACTGTACCTGTGTCACAACTTGTTTCAGACACGCATCATTGGAAATCAACAGGTGTATGTATACCACATTAAGTTCACTGCTTGAAAGTCCAAAAACTGTCCAGATTTAATTGAGAGAATGAAATAGAGATCAGTGACTTTCTAATGGTGTCTTAGACATGTTATGAATAAAAAATGATGAGTAATGGTATATTAGAGAAAACTTGGAAAATAAAGAAAATAATGATGTCTGTCTCCTGATAGGTGAGAGAATCTTCTATGTTAGTTTGCCCTTGGAGGCAGTCTGCATATAGGCAATCTGTATGCAGAGACAAGATAATTTGTGGCTACTTCAGTTGAAAATTGATTAAAAATTTTATTTTCAGATTTTAAAGCTTATTTTCTATAAGTTTTTATAGTTTTTAATTTTTTAGCTTAATTGAAGTATACAATAGAATTCACGCATTTTCAGTGTTCATTTTGATTAGTTTTGTGACGATATTGTTGTGTAAACACCACCATAATCAAAATATATTACCTTAAAAATTTCCTTGCACCCTTTACAGTTAGCAAAGGTTCCTTGACCTGGTTCCAGGAACCACAGGTCTCCTTTCTGTCGTTAATAGTTTTCTTTTTTAAAATTTCATGTAAATGGAATTATATAATATTTTAATCTTTTGTGTTGAACTTCTTTAAGTTAGCATAATGTTTTTGGGATTCATCTGTATTGGTGTGTATTCATCTTTGATGTGTATCAATAGTTTGATTCTTGTATTATGGAGTGGTATTCCGTTCTACCCAACATAGAGTAATTTGCATGTTTATAGATGTTTGGCTTTCAATTTTTATACTATTATGAATGATGATGCTATGTATGCCAGTCTTTTTGAGGACTTATTTCTGAATGGTGAATGGTGTGGAGTAAGCCTTTATTTTTAATTGTATAGTTTATTAAAATAGTTAATTTTAACAAATTATTCTCAAGTGACAAGTATTAGGTTTATTCCACTTAGGTTGACAAGGCTTTACTCTTAATCAAAATCTCATTTGTTACTGTGTGAAATTTCTTCCAACACTTTAAACTGCATTTATAAATTTAATATATAGTAGTCCCCTCTTATCCATAGGGATATGTTCAAAGAGTACCAGTGGGATACCGGAAACTGCACATACCACCCAACCCTATACACTTTGTTTTTTTCCTGTACTAACCTATATTAAAATTATATTGATTAACCATAGTAAGAGATTAACAACCATAACTAATGATAAATAGAACAATTCTAGCAAGATTGTATAATAAAAAAAGTTACATGAATGTGATATTTCTCTTAAACATCTCATCATAAGTAGTATTTTGGACTATGGTTACCCATGGGTAACAGAAACCTCAGAAAATGAAGCTGTAGATAAGTTTATTTTAAACAGTTTGGTTGCTTGACATGCACATTGGAGTCTGAACAGAGAGTGGGAAACAAAAATAGCTGTAATAATGGGTTGTCAGAAATATATCTATGCAAAAATACGTCATGACTTTTCTGACAGCCCAATATGTTGTAGTGAATTGCCCTGAGTATTGTCCATCCATTAAGAAGAAAACATTACTATCTTTAATCTGGATAGTGAGTTTTTATTGACAGATACAATTCAGCCCAACTCCAGGAGTCTTTGCCTTCACCAAAGGCAAGGGAGTTGAAAATGTGGAATTGGTAAAGGTGCAGACTCCAGGAAAAGTCACTCAGTGCTCTGGTGCTCAGGAACCTAGAGTTGGATGTTTCTTGTTGCTCACTTCCACAGATTGCAGGTGCAAGATGATTAAAAGTGAAGCCCTTTCTAGTCTACGTCAGGCTTAATATTTTTGTAAATACATTCCACTTTCTAAATCTAAGAACAGGAATTGAACATATGTTTTGCTTTCAGAGGACTTGATTAACTGGCCTTCTTATTTTGTTTAATTGGTGCTTTTGGTATGTTATGCTTCAAAGCTCAAGTTAATATTAGTGTTCAAGCAGTTTCTTAATTAATTAATTAATTTTATTTTTAAAAAAGATTTATTTATTTATATAAGCACTGGGTACAGTCAGAAGCGTGGGAGGGTGAGTGAATTCACCAGAGCCAGAGCCGGGAGCAGAGCAGGCAGAAGGACCGATGTACACTGCTGAGGGGAGCAGCGGGCGGCAGGAGAGGTCTGCGCGCCATGTGGGACCCTCCTCTGGTGGCCGGGGAGCAGCCGGGGATCGAACCAGTGCTGTAGAGGCTGCGGGCAGCTTCGCAACCAAGCGCTCAACCGCTGCGCCACCAGGGAGGCCCTTCTTAATTTATTTTTAAAGATTTAGTTATTTGTAGAAGTTTTGGGGTATAGACTAGAGGTGTGGGGGGTGGTGGTGAGTGGATTCACCACAGACAGAGTAGGGAATAGAACAGGCAGATGTACTGAAATACACTGCTGAAGGGAGCTGCAGGTGAGTCAGGAGAGGCCTGCTGCACATGTGGGTCACCTCGCTGGCCAGGGATTGAACTTGTGCTGCAGTGGCTGCGGGTAGCTGTGTTTTAACCTGTTGCACCACCAGGGAGGCCCCACCCTTTTAACCATTTTTAAGTATATAATTCAGTGGCATTAAGTATTTATTATTCTAATATATATAGAATTACTGCAGCTCAGGTTTGAATTGGAATGTTAAGTCCTTTCCCTGCAACTCCTTTTCTCTTCTCCTCTTTTTTTTTTTTTTTTTAAAGATTTATTTATTTATTTATACAAGCACTGGGTACAGTCAGAAGCGCGGGAGGGTGAGAGAACTCACCAGAGCCAGAGCGGGGAGCAGAACAGGCAGAAGGACCGAGGTACACTGCTGAGGGGAGCAGCGGGTGGCAGGAGAGGTCTGCGCACCATGTGGGACCCTCGCCCAGTGGCTGGGGATCAAACTGGCGCTGCAGAGGCTTCGGGCAGCTTCATAGCCCAGTGCTCAACCACTGCGCCACCGGGGAGGCCCTCTCCTCTCCTCTTTTGGAAATGTGTGTGGGTATTTTGAAAAACTTTATCTGAAAATAATTTCAAGTCTATAGTTACAAGAATAGTATCAGGTGGCCCCATAAGCTTTTTTTTTTTTTTTTTTAAAGATTTATTTATTTGTTTATACAAGCACTGGTACAGTCAGAAGCGCGCGAGGGTGAGAGGATTCACCAGAGCGGGGAACAGAACAGGCAGACTGACTGAAATACACTGCTGAGGGGAGCAGCGGGTGCGGCAGGACAGGTCTGCGCGCCATGTGGGACCCTTGCTGGGGGCCAGGGATCAAACTGGCGCTGCAGAGGCTGCAGGCAGCTTCGCAGCCCAGCACTCAATGGCTGCGCCACCAGGGGAGGCCCCCCATATAAGCTTTAACCAAATTTGTCAGTTGTTAACATTTGCTCTGTTTGCTTTATTTTTAACCTTTAACACATATGCACAGTACTTCTCTCACCTTTTCTCCAGACTTTTGAGAGTAAATTGGCATGCATCATTGCTGTTTAGTGTCAGATAAGTTTGTATTTCCTCTGAACAGAGTTGTTTCCGCTTCAGTCACTGGGCCCTGTAAGCACTCATGAACTAAACATGTGACTTGCTTTGGTAGTCACGATGGCAGTACATTTTGTCAGTTGGATTTCCCCCAAGAACTTTTTTCCTTAGCTGGCGTCACTGGTGATTTCTAAACTTGATATGAGTAGACTTGATTTTTAATCATTTCTATATAACTTTTTTGTTTTTATTATAATATTTATTGCAATGGAATCAAAGCAAATGAATAAAGAAATAAAAACAATAAAAGATATAAGAAAACTACAATTGGTAAAAAGAAATAAAAACACAACAGATACATTGTTCTAAGGGCTTGAAAAGGTAAATAGAATTAAATGAGTGGGATTATTACTCAAAAATTGCACTGCAAATTAAATTCTTAAATTATAACGTATGACATACATTTTATTAGATAAGTAAGTTACTTTCTGATTAATACTAGTGCGCTATTAAGATGCATGTATAATCAATCTGTACACTGATTTGTGTTTTTCTTAGGATGTTGAAAACATCCTAATATGTCAATATTCAGTTGCTGATTTCTCCAATTTTTTTATTCCTAGGGCAAGAGGATTATGATAGATTACGACCGCTGAGTTATCCACAAACAGATGTATTTCTAGTCTGTTTTTCAGTGGTCTCTCCATCCTCATTTGAAAATGTGAAAGAAAAGGTAAGTTTGTTGGTTATTTTTGCTCTGAAGAAGATTGTTATGGAATTTCTAATGAGTTATAAGTAACTTTGGACTTGTGAAATAACAAAGACATGTTTTGAAAAATACCTTTTCTCTAGTGGGTGCCTGAGATAACTCACCACTGTCCAAAGACTCCTTTCTTGCTTGTTGGGACCCAAATTGATCTCAGAGATGACCCTTCTACTATTGAGAAACTTGCCAAGAACAAACAGAAGCCTATCACTCCAGAGACTGCTGAAAAGCTGGCCCGTGACCTGAAGGCTGTCAAATATGTGGAGTGTTCTGCACTCACGCAGGTAAGGACTGTGTGGAAGCCCTCGCTTATTTATAGCTTAGTAGTTTCTTAGACCATCAGGATTTAGGGGTTATTTCTAACAGTGGTCCACAGTGCTCAAGGAAGCTGCCCAGACATGCTGTGATGAGCTTCATAGTGTGTATTCTTTGGTAGAGGTCTCTATTTCTGGAGAAAATTTTAAGTTTCTGAGTAAAACTCTTGTTGGTGAGCTTCTGTAGTGGGAAAGCCTTATGGAAAAGTTCAGATGAGCACTATTTGCAGGGGAGTATGTAAATGATTTATTTTCCCCAGAGGCTTAAATTTTCATTTAACTATATCTGATATTTTCTCACAGTTGATGCTATACTGTTTCTAGGGTAATTCAACTGGGATAGGAAATTAGTCATCATAATTGAGACTTTCACGTCAGAAAATGCTGCCTTGGCTATTTCTGAAGCATATTTTATATTGTGTCTCTTATTCCTGTATTCCTTCTTCATGGGTTCTTTTTCCTTCAGTCTCTTCCTGAATATTTTAATTGGAATTGTTTATAGTTTGATGGAGAACATTAGATTTCTGAGGACAGGGAATAGTGTCATAGTATTTATTTATTTATTTATTTTTAATGTTCTAGAGGCATGTCTTATTTATTTATTTATTTTTATTATTTGTTTGTTTGGTTTATACATGCACTGGGTACAGTCAGAAGCGTGGGAGGGTGAGAGAATTCACCAGAGCCAGAGCGGGGAGCAGAGCAGGCAGAAGGACCGAAGTACACTGCTGAGGGGAGCAGCGGGCGGCAGGAGAGGTCTGCTCACCATGTGGGACCCTCCTCCGGTGGCCGGGGAGCAGCCGGGGATCAAACCGGCTGCAGAGGCTGCAGGCAGCTTCGCAACCCAGCGCTCAACCGCTGCGCCACCGGGGAGGCCCAGTGTCATAGTATTTAGAGTGAGAATTGTAACTGGTCTGTGTGATTTCCTTTTTTCCACCTTCATGATATTACCAACTGATTCTCCCTTTGGGTAGTGCTCTGTGGGCAAAGGGAAAAATTATGGAAATAATTAGCACAGATAATAGTTATAATATTCAGTTGGCACTAGGGCTTTGAAGTTTGAACAATGAATAAACATGCCTAATTAAAATAGCCAGGACTGAAGGTTAGAGATTTATTGTAATTACATTAAATCCACTTAAAAATCAGGTAATTGTTCTTTTTTTTATTAAGTTTGTTGCAAACTATTAGAGTTTTGGTTATATTTATACTAGGGTAAGTGGTATCTATAATTATATAATGTGCGTATACTAGGTATTTAGTCTGTAGTGTTTAGTGCATCATTTAATAATCTCTGATTTAGCCTAGGTTGGATATTTGTTGTTTATTTATTTATGCATAGATGAACCAGGGTTCAGAGACAGAATGGGGAGCAGAACAGGTGGATCCACTGAAATATACTGCTAAGGGGAGCAACGGGCGAGACAGGAGAGGTCTGCTGTGCCATGTGGGTCAGCTCCCTGATTGGGGATCAAACCCAGGCCATAGTGGTGCTAGTGCTGAGACTTAATCCCTAGACCACCAGGGAGGCCCTAGGTTGGATATTTAAAGATGGAATTTTTATGCTTAGTTAAATATTCCACAGATTTGTCTTCAAGGCCTGTACATTTTCCCAAATCCGATACCTGGCAGTTCTTTTATAACCACAGATATTTAAAATCAGAAGATTTACATCTTGCACACATCACTCATTGAGGTTATTTAAAAAAATACCAGATACTTCTGTGCTTTGTTACCATCTTTAGAATAGTGTTGTGTGTGTGTGTGTGTGTGTGTGTGTGTATATGTATATTGGAGGAGTGTGTGAAATGTGTGTCAGATTATAACTAATTAAATATGCATCTGTTGCACACTTTTGGTCTCCAAATACGGATTTACTTTGGGGGATATGGAGGCAAGATGGCTTTGTGGACCCAATTTGGGTCACTGGTGAAACTTTCATTACAGAATTTGATGCTTCCATAAAATTTTGTATAGTACTAATAGGTTTATATAGTAGTAGAGAATAGAAAATTTGAAAAGGTCTTTGTAACTTCATTTTCCTTTTGGATTTTGAAGTTTGGATAAGTCAGAAGAGGAGAATATAGAAAGTGGGGTCTCTGGTTGCCTTTGGAAGCTCAATCTGTTAGGACGCAATGTTCTGTATGTTGGGCCCTTTAAAACTGAGCTGTTTTATATAACCACATGGTTATATATAACCATGTTTTATATAAACCACATGGTGTGAGTAAAGCAAAGATTACTTGTGTGTTGTAGGGGATTAGTTGATCTTTGTCAATAAGGAAGAAAGGATTTGTTCTTACTAAGGGATGCCCTAGTTTCGTATAGGCTTCCCCTCTTTATTTTCCATATAAAATATATCTTTCCAGTTTTCTTCCTACTTTTATATCTTACTTGACCACCAGTTTGTTCCTAGATATGTAGAAAGAATTTCAGAGAATTTTAATTTGTTAATTCTACTTTGTAAAAGATAAGGAAAGAAGATCTTTTAACCTTGTTTCTTTTTAAATACTTACTGCTATTTCTCATTTATTTGCACTAGAGTGTGTGGGTGACAGATCTCTGGGATGCCATGGTGGGGTTGGGGACACCTGGGGCAGTCTGGGACTGACACTTGTTATTTGGGGACTTTTGGGGAAATTTTTGCTTGGGGTCAAAATGACCTAAAGAATATCTTAAACTTCTTTGAGTAGTAGACTCGTGGCTTCAGATTTAGCTGAGTTTAGGTGGTATAGACCTGGGCCTAACGTACCAGTACTACGACACATTGTCACGTTGGTGTTCTGACTGAGGTGTAACTGTATTTCTGTATCTTAATTTCTGTAGATCTGAGAATATTCCTTGTTTTCACTCCATGCTTTATGCTCAGATATCCATGCATACATCTTAAAGCATTGAACTGCTTGCAAAAACCCATTCTTAGGACCCCATTCTGTGTTTTTCCTATGATTTGGGTGGTGGTTACTTGCTCTAATAACACTATTGAATAACTGAAGTGTATGCTGTTTCTAGAGTCTGGCCTTTAAACTTCTCCCAGTTGGTACTGTTGAACAGTTAACCCTCTTTCTAACTAAACCTTTCGTTCTGGAAAACTGGTTTACTCTGAAATCTTGATTAATCCCATTTAGATATGTCGTTGAATCTAGAAACATGTAGCATGCTTGTTAGTCTGCTATTTGTGTCCTTCAGTTATTCAGAGGCTAAATTCACAGAAGCCTGAAAATCGCAATAGGTTTAGTTCCAAAATTTGCCATTTCTCATCATTGGAAATACTAGGGAATTCTACAAGGCTTAATTATCCGATGCCTGTGTCTTGTTTTTACATATCGCTATTTCTCTCCTGGCATTATTTTCATTAAAATATTGTAACATTAGCTTTTGAAGTGTGGTTGTTTTAGAAGTCATTATGTGCATTTTCATAAAAATTGCTTCTTGAAAGTTTCTGTTCGGTTCTCTGTTCTCCAAACAATGGGTTTAAGATCTAGGTATCTGGCAGTTATTTTTCTTCAGGCACATTGCTTCTGTGAATTCAGCCCATTTAATCCAGACTGCTAATGTATCTGCTAGTCTTTCTAATCCTCTAACCTGGCTGCTGTTCTCTCTCCTCCCCTCTGTCTTATAGAGAGGTCTGAAGAATGTGTTTGATGAGGCTATCCTAGCTGCCCTCGAGCCTCCGGAAACTCAACCCAAAAGGAAGTGCTGTATATTCTAAACTATTTTCTCCTTCCCCTCTTTGCTGCTGCTTCCTGTCCCACTACTGTAGAAAGATCCTTTAAAAACAAAGGAATAAAACCATCCTGTTTGAAAGCCTCTGCGTCTTTTTACTCACCACCTTAGAGCAACTTCTGTATTAGTTTTTGATCAAGAATGTAATATCTTATAGAATATTTTTTGTGATCAGTAGTCAAGTTGGACTTGTTTAACTTTCTGCTGCTTGAGTTGCCTGATGCTCAGAGCTTTTTAGTTTGGGTTATTATTGCAAAAGGGAACTTGGTCTGGCATTAAGAATGTCCTCTGGGAGAAAATAAGAAGAATTTAAAGACTTCTAGATCTTAGTTCTAGATGGAGAAAATAACGCAAACATCATTTTACTCTTATGATCAATTGTTAATTGTAATTGCATGACAAACTTTATGGAAAAAAGGTGACCTGCTAGTAGAGTGTAATGGGGAAGGGAAGATTCTTTTCTGGTTTTCCTTTGTGCAGTGGAACTTTGTGTTGCTATTGCTTTGGCTGTCTGTGCTATAGTGGAGTATTTGTCAGTTTGGGGTGGGAAAGATATCGATGTATCTGCTACTGCTTTAATGACATCATTTGTTACGTTATCTTTTAAGAATAGCATCCATTTTAACAGTTGACTTAGGTTTGTTAATGTTGAGATGTAAAGCTGCCACCTTTATATTTTCCTGCTTCTGATTTTATTGTGTGAGGGAAACATACAATTGTGGTTACCTTCAAATTTTGAAATTAAAAATATACAATTGTTTGTATAAATGCCTGATGAAGCGTTATTCCTGTTGCACTCACTGGTTCTAGTTTTTCATATGTATCATGTACATTTACATTTTTGCTTCCTTGAATCCCCTTCCTTCTGTCTACCTGGTGGGAGGAAGGGAGTTAAGAGTGAATATCCTTGATGCAGCCTCTGTAATCGCTCTCTCCATCTCTGCCTGCGCCTCCCATGTAATAAGGACCCCACTGCCCCATGCGGTCTCTTCCATATCCAGCTGTGTCATTGGAATGCAGAGCTGCTTCATTTGTTTTTATGTAAAATGTTTCAGCAGCACATTACAAAACTCACATTGAATGAGCAAATGACATTGTTGTGCTTGTTTGCTTCTTGTGACATACATTGGTCTGCAAAAAGCTTTCTCAAAGGACCACTGTCTCACTTATGAATCTGCGCCTCTGCTCCTGAATTGCTGGATCCTTCCAGTGCCCTGCCAGGACAAAACTTGGTGAAGATGATTGTGTTGAGATTCAGGGTGGTTTTATTGTTTCGTTTTTTGCCAACGCTGGGAGGTTTGAGTGTTTTTAATTTGCACTTCAGCTTTATTATACTGAAAATCAGACTGCCCGTTTTTTTTTCTTTCTGCCCCTTTTTAGAAAGGCCTAAAGAATGTATTTGACGAAGCAATATTGGCTGCCTTGGAGCCCCCAGAACCGAAGAAGAGCCGCAGGTGTGTGCTGCTATGAACATCTCTCCAGAGCCCTTTCTGCACAGCTGGTGTCGGCATCATACTAAAAGCAATGTTTAAATCAAACTAAAGATTAAAGATTAAAATTCGTTTTGCAATAATGACAAATGCCCTGCACCCACCCACATGCACCCATGTGAGATAAGGCCCATAATGGCCCCGCCCCCTCCTCAGTACTAGTTAATTTTAAGTAATTGTGTATTGTCGGAAAAGTAATCATCACTAGTTTTGTTTTGTCTTTTAAAAAAAAAAATTTTTTTTGTGTTTGTTTAAAAGTGAGCCTTGCTTTAGATTACTCTGTAACAGACTAATTCGGATTGTTGAAGCTGCTCCCGGGTTCCACTCAGAAGAGTAATCTGGGATATCTAGGTTTTTCCCCCTTTTTTCCTTTTTTTTGGGGGTGGGGGAGTGTGTGTGGGTTTGTTTTTATTTAGTCATTTTTATTTTAATTCATTAACTTGGATAGCCCTTAAGGAAATGAGGATGGAGTCCACATTCCACTTCCTAGATCTAGTTTAGAAAACATGTTCCCCACCTGGTGCTCTTAGGAAGGAGTTGAGTGAAATGCCTCATTTAATAACAGACTCCTTTTTGAAAGTTGCCTTTTCTCTCCACCCTTGAGTAGATCAGTATTTGATGAAACTCTTGAAAGTGGACAGAATCTGTCTTGCCCCTCCTCTTTTCTAGGATGCACTATACATGTGACTGTGACTTTCAAGGAAATTTGTATGCCATTAGATTTTTTTTTTTTGAAGTTAATTTCCAACTTCTTTCACTGATAAATGAAGAAAAGTATTGCACCTTTTGAAATATACCAAATGAATTGAGTAAATAATTAAAAAAAAATACCCCCCCCTCCACCGTCAGTCATTGTCTCACATGCTTAGCATAGACATTCAGCTTAACGTGTGTGTGCTATTCCTAGCTGAACACAGCTGAAGACCTGGTATGTAGAGGAAATATGAGGGGTGGTGCTAGAAGACAGAGGTCTGTGGAATGATTCACATCCTCTTCCAGGTTACGAGGATGGAGACTGCTTCATTAAGAAGCTGGGGATGGGGTGGGGGTGGGGAGAACATTTAACAACATGGGGACCAGTCAGGGGACTCCCCTTATTTCTGTTTTGTGTGTAAGGAACCCTAGAGCAACCAGTTGAGGCGCTCTAGTTTAATGAAAAACCATGGGGAGAGTCTTAATAAAGACTCTTAATTAAGTGTTAATAGCGATTTTATCAGCTTATTTTGGTTGCAATTTTTAAAAATGTCTAGGTAATCTTTTCTACCTTCCCCAAATCCCAAGTCTGTAGATTCATTAGTGTTGAACCAATGCTTTCTTGTGTCTCGTTTCTTTGTATATTCATTCTTTGAAGATGTATTAAACAAACAAAAAACCCTTCACAAGCCCGCCTGAGGGTTGTTATTTTCCCTTCGCCTCTTATGATTTAGATATTTAGGAGTGGGACCTTGACTCTTATTAACACATACCTAACAAATTTCAGGATAAGATCTTAAATCCTCTTCATGTATTTTGTTTTCTGGCATTCAGTGAGATCATGTTTTTCCTTCCATTTATTCAAGTTTGTACTTTTTCTCCTGAGTTTGGCAGATAGCCTAGAAACTTCTTCCATTAAATACCAAGTGGGTTCATACCAGTTCTCAGCGAAGAAGTGTTCAGGAAGCTCACCTCTCATGTTGTTGGAGGGAAATGTGAGCACCTCTCTAATCCATAGATAAGTTGGGAAGTTTTCCCCCAGGTTTTCTTTATCAGTGGTTTTCAACTTGATGGCTAGTTACTAAATGGAGCATAGTGTTGAGCAGTGGGATATTTACAGGCTTTCCAGGTATGGTCAAAATGCTTCCAGTTTTGAGAACCACAGATTCTAGTGGTTATAGTGCTTCTATCAGATTTGGGAGTGGTGCTTTAGATCTTTTGGAACACATATGGAACACTTTTTTTTAGGTGGCAGGAATGATTCATTTACCTTAAGGGCCTTTATGCTGATCAATATGATAATCTTAGAAACTAAACTATTCAGTTGAAGTTGAATCAGTATAACCTTGATAGTTTTCCACATGGAATCATGTACGGGTTGCTTCCATACTGTGCTAGAATTAAACTATGGGTTGTTTGGAAAAGACTTAGGAGGAGACAAAGGTAAGCTTACCATTTTTAACCGACGATGTGTCTAGGAAAAGATAACTGGATGGTGCTGTGAGACGTTGGGGAGCAGGGATTGTGTGTACCTAGTTATTAGTGGCATATAGCGCCATCCTGATTATTGTGATGGATTCTTGACCTAGAGCAGTGCTTCCCACATGAGGAATGACTTTAAAAATACTCATTGGTGGGGGATGATTGCAACAGTTAATAAATGAAAATAGGTTGCATGGTTGTTGATCAGTGATGCTCACACAGCAGAGCAAGGATGACAAAGGCATTGATTGAAGTTAACATTTTCTGATTAATTATTTTCATTTTGACTTCAAGATACCAGAAGAACATGGGTGGCAAAAGGATGAAGCTGACATTGTTGTCTACTTAAATACTGTTTTTTTTTTGTTTGATTTAGCAAACTTGTTCGTTGTCTTGGCTTTTTGAGTGGTGTTGCCCAGCAAATAGGGGTAGATGTTGGGGAAGGATTAGTTAAAACAGTTCTTGGCAGACTTAGTTTATGGCAAGATTTTTCAGTATATAGGCCAATATAACACTAATATTGGTAATTTTTTATAATACCAGTATTTAACTGAGGGCCTTAGAAATAGGTTCTAAATTTGTTAAAGTTACATCCTTAAGAGCTAAATTTTATGCCAATAGAGGGGAATATATTCTAAGAGGAAGAGAGGATTATGGGTTAAAAAGAAAAATTGTAGTATTTCCTTTATTCTAAGGTGTATTTTTCTTTTTAAAAATATTTCTTGGGGCCTCCCTGGTGGCGCAGCGGTTGAGCGCTGGGTTGCGAAGCTGCCTGCGGCCTCTGCAGCTCCGGTTCGATCCCCGGCTGCTCCCCGGCCACCGGAGGAGGGTCCCACATGGCGTGCAGACCTCTCCTGCCGCCCACTGCTCCCCTCAGCAGTGTACTTCGGTCCTTCTGCCTGCTCTGTTCCCTGCTCTGGCTCTGGGAATTCTCTCACCCTCCCGTGCTTCTGACTGTACCCAGTGCTTGTATAAACAAACCATCAAACAAACAAATAAATCATTACACATCTTTAAAAAAAAAAAATTTCTTGGAGGAGGGGACGCCATGCTTATACTCAATTGAGAGAAACATTTCTGTAATCCAGAGGTCTTAATTTTGTTCACACCTATTATACCATGAATTCATAGGGAAGGGGTTCCCAGCAGCCCAGGCTCTTTCCCACTGGTTCTCACAAAATGTGCTGCTCTGGGTGCATCAGGCTGGCACTTCAGCTGAACCCAAGTTCCTTTCTCTTTGGCTTTTTTTCTGATCATTTTCTTTCACATGTTTCAGGAAGCTGTCTCAGCTCTTAGAGTGCTTAATATGCCCAATAGGAACATGAATTCTCTTGGCAAGACTCTTACCCTGGTATGTTTACTGCAATCCCAGCTGCACGCTGGGTATTACAGACATTTCCAGTTTTGCTGTGATAACGTGTGGGGCATCCTTTGTGAATAGTGCCCGTCACCTTGATGTCTATAATAATCACCTTTCTTGTAGATTCTTGTGCATGTGGCCAAGAGAACACCTCCATGTTTTCTGAAAGGCCTGGAGAACACAGCCTGGTGCCTCTCGTCTTTCCCTTTGTGTTGGTCGTTTTGGTGATTTACTGGAAGATGGCAGTGCCAGCTCAAAGGAAGAGGCTTTCCTCACATTTTCATGTAATCAGAATACATCTTATAAGCCTCTTTTAGCTGTAAAAATAATGGTGTACTTAGTCATCACTGAGGTAAAAATGCAAGTCAGGCACCAGTTGGTCAGTAGTGAGAAGCTTCAAATTAATCCCCTGAGATTCTGTACCTCAGTAAATTGAGTGAAACCTGGAAATCAGTGTAGTTCTTAAAAGCTCCCAGGTAGAACTTTGATTATATTTTAGGACAAGTGCATACCTCAGTGTGAATGTTCCTAGGGAGCTTGGGGCCATGTCTCATAGTCTTTGGAGAGAGGGTCTTGGCATCACAATTTTTTTTAAAGATTTATTTATGCATACAAGAGCTGGGGTACAGGCCAGAGATGCGGGGGGGTGAGAGGATTCACCAGAGACAGAGTGGGGAAGAGAACAGGCAGATTGACCGAAGTACACTGTTGAGGGGAGCAGCGGGCGAGTCAGGACAGGTCTTCTGCGCCATGTGGGTTGCTCCCTGGCTGGCCGGGGATCGAACTCGTGCTTCAGAGGCTGCGAATTGCTTCATAGTGTGGTGCTTAACTCCTTGCCCCACCAGGGAGGCCCACAATTTTTTTTTTTTAATTACTTTTTGAGGGGCAGCACTTGGAAAGCTCACTGTATTATTTTAATGTATCACCAGATTTGGAATCATTGTTTGAATTTTAGAATAATTTTGGACTAAAAGTTTTTACAGTTTTATCTGTTCTTTGAGGAAAAAGGTTTTCCAGACTTGTGGTCCCAAACCAGCATTCAGATCTTTACTCAATCAGATGGGTTTAAGAGTTCACGGCCATATAATTTTATTGGTGAACAGGCACTAAAATAGTTTGGGCAGACTTCTAAGTAATTACTTAGGCAGCAGTTTGAGAGAAGACTGGTATTTAAGATGTGGCCATCAGCTCCAGTTTCGTAAGTGAAGGCTAGAATGCAGGGGAAGGCTGTATTTCCCCACAAACTTAAAGACCAGGTGTACCGTACAAATTTCATGGGAAATAGAAATCCCTCCCACTTCTTTAAGGAATATTTTGATCTAGCTGCAGAATATACAACAACCAAATCCCAAATAGTGTGAGTTTGTGCTGAAAATGAATGTGAAGTTGAAACTATTCCAACAGACTAAACTGGACTTCTAGGAGATGATGTTGCTTGGTAAGTCAAAAACAAGGTTACTTTGTTACTTTCTGCAGTTGTCCCCTCTTTGTGATTTGTCAGACCTTTGTGATTTGTCCCACCTTTGGGCAGGGTGGGAGCCAGTGTCTTGTGGCTTCATTTCCCTTCTGTCAGTGAATATATAGTTGCAGGTAGATTGGTTTTCAAGTCTGAGTGGTTAAACAGGTGCTATGCAAATAATAGCAGTGTCTTTGTGCATTGACTTGATACTGGTGAATTAATATTTATTGCATAGGGTCTTAGTTCCTGTGTCTTGGATTGTGGTTTAGCTGTAAATTGATGCAGTCATGTGGCCAGTCTTCTCAGAGGCGGAAACGGGAAGGGGCTGCTTAGAGGTTTGCAAGATTGAGTGCTTTGAACCCATGAACCCATTTTCTCATAACTCCATGATCTCGTATTATTGTAGGTGGAGAAGCTTGTGCCAGTATCATGCTATCTCTCTTGTGCTGCTTTTAAACAATTGATTGGGCTGCGTTTAAACTCTGTTCCCTCACCGCTTTTTTCCACTGGGACAGCCCCATGACTGGATTATTGAGATTTGCTCCACCCAGTGGTGAATTTAAGTTAAAACTGGTAGTTGTATTTAGTATCTGAACATCACTTGTGGGGTGGCTGAAGGGTGGAAAGAATGTGGTGAAATAGAAAGGAATAAAGGCTGAGTCAATACACTGGTAGACTGGGGAGATTTCTGACCTATCTAGAAGAGGTTGTTGAGAGTCAGTCTGAGAATTCGTAGTCAAACTTTAGAATCCAAGATGTCTGCTCTAGGGAAATAATTGTCTTGAGTTTTGATGCCAACCTTATTACCTGTGTGATCTTTGTTAAGTCAGTGAGTGTTCTGAAATTCCATTTGCTTCATCTGTAAATTAAGAATAATGATAATATTTACATCTCCGGGGTGGGTTTGAGGATTAAGTGAGATAAATGTGAACTTTTTTGTGAGCACAAAAGTTAACAGGTTTACATTGCAGTAAATTTGGGCTATGTATGAAGCAGTACTTACTGATACCATTGTGGCGTGCTTGAGGGCTCATCTTGGAGATTTCGTGTTGTAGTAATAATAGGAGTTCTGATTTAGTATTTATAGAACTAGGATGTTAGAACTCAAGGTTGTTCAGAACTTTCTTCAAGAAAAACCTAAGACCCACAGATGGGGTTCCTCCTAAGCTATTTAATTTTGTGAAAGCATAGTTCCTTTTCTCCAAAGAATCTGCTAGGTTCTTCCATTTCTGGAACTGCTTTTTTTGGGGGGACCCCTCAGAGACAGGGAAGCAGGAGACCTTTATCTTGACAGTTTCTCCTCTGACCCAGAATTATTACCAGGACTGGTGTCTTAGGGTTACCAGTTATCTGAAGCTGGCGTGAGGAGCTTGCTCATCCAAGCC